GATATTTTAACACTTAACTAAATAGAAGTAAATAATAATTAATAATCCCACAAAGTATTTTTGTTAATTGTTATTAATATAACTAGTATAATTTGAAACTCTCTAAAACTATGTCATATTAACACAACTAACTTATTTATTATTATAATCTCTTATGTAAATCTTTTATTAAAAATAATTCATTCAAAATCACTTAGCAAATGAGTATAATTCCTTTATTGTTTAAGTTTAAAATTAAAGTTAGAACATAAACTTTATTAATTAAATCTTTTAGTATATACAAACTTTTTATGTTCTTTTTTTTTTTAAAGTAAATATCAACCACACGAGAGTTGAAATTATTTTGGTATGTTTCAAATTTTTTTGTTGAAAATAATTTCTAACTTTAGTTTTAATACAATTTATTTTTATATATTTAACAAAATTTGTAAATATTGGGAAAATTAAATTTAATAAAATAAAATAAAGAAATGAAATGAAATAAAATCATGGAAATGAACCCATAATTATTATTGTTTGCTATCATATCAAAATGTATTTATTAGAAAAAAATAAAATTTTATAATTTTTACAAAAGAAAGTAAAGCACAAGTTTGCCCCTAATTTTAACTTAAAATTTTAAAATCAAGGGCAAAAATGATATTTTTATTTCCTTCTAAAAAATTTTACAAATTTTTTTCTAATAAATACATTTAAATTATTTGTGTATGTTTCATTTCTTTCCTTTTTGTTAAAAATAATTTCTAGATTTTTTATATAGGATTTTATTTTATGTTTTTATCAAAATTTGTAAATATTGAAAAAATAATATTTAATAAATTAAAATAAAGAAATTAAACAAATTGGGATAATTGATCCAAAATTATTACTCTTTGCTATCATATCAAAATGTATTTATTAATTATAAAAGAAATAAACTTTTATAATTATTACGAAGGAAAGTAAATTATCATTTTATCCCTTATTTTAAATTGAATTTCTAAAACAATGGAAAAAATGTATTTCATTCTTCAAAATTTTAAAAGTTTTATTCATTTTTTAATAAATATATTTTAGTATGTATTAAAGAATAATAATTCTAAATTTATAATCTTAAGTTGTAATTCTCTTGCAAAATTTGATCAACTGGCTATTTTGACACAATTTTAAAGTTGGGGATTACCATGAAATAATTTAAAATTTAGAGATCAAAATGTAACTCAAATGAAAATTTTGGACTTCAAGTACACTTTGCCCTATGTTGTTTAATAGGACTAGTCATGTAATATTCATTATTATATGTTAATTATGAATTATTAAAATTTTAATAAATTTTTTAATTTATTACTTATATTAACTTTTATAATATTTTATTTATAAATTAATCAATTATATTTTAATTTTTATTATGAAAATATATACAACATTTTATTAGTATACAAACTTACTTATGAATAGTGTCAAATTTTAAAATATATTTTCAAAAACAACAAAACAAAAAAAAATGTTACTTTCAACAATTTAAAAAAATTTTATTTTTATTTTCGTTTTTGTTTTTTATTTTCAAAAAAAGTTATCAGACATAATTTTGTACTGTTGTTTTCAAAAAATTAAAACTAAAAAACAAAATCAACATCAAACACCTGAGTCGTGGAGTTAAAAGGAAAAATAATCTTGGAGTAATATGCTAATTCTCCTCTTATTAAAGTTTATAACGACATAAATTGAATCGAATCAAATTTAATTTAATTATTTTAATAATTTATAAGATTATAAATTTTTAAATTTAAATTTAAATAAATTTTTTATATAATTTGATTTATTTTGAATTAAATTTTATCGGTTTAATTTATTAATTTTTTATATTAATTTTTTATTATTTTAATATAAATATTTAATATTTTTAAATATATTTAAATATAAAATAATTATTTTATTTGTAAAAATTTAATAAATATATATAAACTAATAAAAATATAATTTTATTTAATTTTTAATCAAAAATTTAATATATATTTTTAATATCTAAATTTAATTCGAATAAAATAAAAAAAAATTGATTTAAATTGAATGAAATACTTCGAATCTTTTTTTCCCTCACCCTACTGCCGATGGGGATCAATGCATTCTGGCAAACTTGCAAAAATGACCTCGTCCATATTGTCCTGCTCTGGCTTTCCAATGGTCCCTACCTATTATTATTATAATTTCCCTCCGCTCTCTTTCTGGGAGGACTCGTGAATATGATTGCTCGTGTATCCTTGGTATATTATAATATCCATCCGTTCTCTTGCGTGTTAGAAACAGATTCTGCGAGAAATAGTAATATTATATCAACAACTCTGGCCACCATTGACACTTTGATGTCACGTCACTCTGCCCTTGGTTTACTTCTTCAGAGTTTATATTACTTTATATTAAAAAATTTTTAAAATTTCAAATGTTGGCATTTGTCTTTGTTTATTGTGATTGGGGTATTTATTAGGTTTTTAATTTTAATTTTTGAATATGGATCTTATTTTTATGAAAAGAAATTTTATATATGTGCCATATTAGAGGATTTTATATTATTTGATTTTAATTTTTTATTATGTGTGATAAATATTCTAAAATTCTCTAAATAATTCATTAAAAAACCTTTGGACAATTCTAAAAAAATCGTATTCTCTTATTCGTTGTAAACTCTTCATGTATACGCTTAATTATTATTAGCTCTTTAAGAAATGTGTAAAAATAGATTAAAAAAAAAAGTCTTCTAATGCATTTGATTATTGTTCTTTAAGATTTATGATAAAATATTTAATTTTTTTAAATTTTTAATTTATTTTTAAACATTTTACCTTGTTACGTGTTTGACTAAAAAAAATATTACACGCTTAAATTTTTTTGAATATGATGTTAATGATATGTTAATTAATTTAATATTATTTTTAGATTAAGGTGAAAGGAAAAAAAGGAAAATTAAAAAAATAAAGTAATGAAAATTAAAAAGTTATTTCTTTATTTGGATAAATTTTTATTTTTTAAAAAAGAAAAGATAAAAAAACTAAATAATTTTTTATTTTTCTTGTAATTTTTATTTTTTTAATATCTCAATTTGAGAGAAAAGCTAAAAAAAAAGAAAATTGAAAAAATTTTATTTTTATAAAATGATTATTATATCTATATTTTTATTATGATATTAAATTTAATTATATATAGACATTTCTTACAAAAATAATTTTTTTGAGTATTTTATATAATATTATAATTTATAAATATTTTATATGTTTTCGAGTCTTAACAACAAAATAAATCAAATTATTGTCAAAATAAATTAAAAAACTTAATTAAATATAAAATTAAGAATAAATCAATAATTAATTAATATATCTTACTGTATTAAATTAATATGCTCAATTTTAATTAGAAAGATTTGTTTATACAAATTATGTAGTATAAAAAATATATCTGTATATTATATGTTATTTTATAAAAAAATATTATAATTAGAAAAAAAATTATAAAAAATTATTTTTTTGCTATTTATTCAAATAATAATTATTAAAATTCATTTATTTTTTTATTAATTATGATTATCCAAATAAAGAGTACATGTATCATTTTCTTTTTTAAAAAATTTTTTTTATTAATATTTATTCAAATATAACATAACAAATAATCGACAATTCCACTATAGATTTAGTTTGCTTATATGTTTATTTCAATACCATCCAGTGAATTTTTTGTGCGATAGTAATATAATTCTCAATGTTTCATAATTATCATTAACTCAATTTATATTTATTATTAATTTTTAATTAATGTACTCATATAAGTTGATTAACCAAAGCCGGGTAACATACCAATTGTATATAAAAGAAGCCTCGGTTAAGACTTAAGACCAAGCCTTCGTTACACATTGTTTTATAAGCTCAACATCGTAATCGCTACCACTTGAAAACAAAAATAACTCATGGTTAACGTTGACGTATCCGACTGTCTCCTAGCTGAATCACTTTTGTAAAACCTTCATGCTATAATTTGTATATTTGTGTTTAATAAATTTATGTTTAACATATATAACGTATGAAATTATTGATACGCTTATGTTAAATATAAAATATATTTTTTATTTTAATTAAATATAAAATATATATTTTTAAAAATTCTAAAGTATATATCACTTATATATTTTATCATTATCATTTAATTTAAAGTTATTAGATTACGTTTAGCACCTAAAATTAGTTAAAAGATAAGACATTAATTATTTTAATACGTGTTTGTTATACATTTAAATAAAAAAATTAAATTATTGAAAAAATTAGATATTTTATACTAATTGAATAATTTTATCTTTTAAAAAAGTAGTGGATTGTTTTCAATATATAGAATTAAATTATTTATCAAAATTTTTAAATAATAAAATTTCTATTTTATCCTTAAATTTAAAAATCTAAATTTAAATTATCAAATATTTAAAAATATTTTTCACTCTCTAAGTTTTTTTCGATGGAGAAAACCCATTTATTTTCAACGAAAAAAGACTCTATTTCTCAAATCTTCCAACTTTGCTAATTTGTAATTTGAAATTTTTTTAATTAAAAAGTTTGTAATTAAAACTTTGATATTTTTTAAACTATAAGCTATAAACTTTTTAATAATTTCTAATATAAAATAATATATAATTTTATTTGAATTTATATTTTTTTATTATTTATTTGATGTTTCTATTTGTTTGTTATGAGTATTTTTTAAGTCCAAATTATTGAAAAAATTTATCAATTAAAAATGTATTTGGGCAACTTTTAATTAATTGATAGATAATCTCTAAAAAAAATAATTGAAAAATTATATCACTTGTGACTACATAAAAATCAAATTAGTATATAAAAGATAATTTTGACCAATAAAAAAAAATCATCTTATCCTAATTTTAGTCTTACACATAATTAATATGATAAATAGTAAAATAATATTTTATCTTATTTTTAATCTTTGCACACACAAAACATAACATAAGATGATATAATTTAATTTAATCTTATCTATAATCTTATATTATCATAATTTTATATATCAAACATAATCTCATCACCGCAACTAGCAAAATAATCCAAAGTAATAATAGTCAAAGACAGATGTCATTCAAAATTTCAGGAGGGATTTTACATATGTCAAACGGGGGAATGCAGCTCAAGTTAATTCTTACTCCAAAACAATTAATTTCGACATATAATTGGACATAAGAATCAGTTTGTGATGAACTTGAGAGGTTGACGAGAAGGCGGCATTCGCAATCATCGGCCCTCTTCCAATGTGGTCATAATCTCTGGATCCCATTGCTGTTTACTGGAAGAAGAAGCTGAGCTGAAAAGAGACCTTCTCACAACATATGCAGGCTGTTTCGGAATTGGAAGACTTAGAGTTTCACTCCCAAGCATGACAAGCACATTTGAGATGGTGGGACGGTCACTCGGGTCTTCTTGTACACATAAGAGTCCAACATTAACACACCTCAGAAATTCATCTGTATTGCATGTTTGACGCAATGCCTGCTCTAATAAGTCCAAAGCCCTGCCATCTTCCCACAATCTCCATGCCTGGCACAGTTCCAAACTATAAATACATATTGGAACCAAATAAGGAGAGAATAGTTATCTCTAAATATTAATGATTAAAGACACTTACATAACCTAAGAGGCTTAAGGGTTGTTCGGCCTGATAAAATCCAGTGTTCCTTTTCCCGCTGACAGTCTCAAGTAGTACCACACCAAAACTGAAAACATCTGATTTGATTGAGAAAAATCCATCGAGTGCATATTCCGGAGACATGTAGCCACTGTATAACAATGTTTATTTTAACAATTAGTTGATTTGATCAGTGATGGTAGATTAAAATGTTTTATTATTTGGTTCAAACAACTAGGACTTTCAAAAAACTTACTATGTACCAACTACTCTATCTGTGCTCGCCTCTATTTGTTTTCCTTCAAAAATTTTTGCCAAGCCAAAATCAGATATTTTTGGGTTCATCTCCTCGTCTAGTAGAATATTGCTTGCTTTCAAATCTCTGTGAACAATCCTCAGCCTAGAATCTTGGTGGAGATAAAGCATCCCTCGAGCAATTCCCAAAATAATGTCAAAGCGTTTTTCCCAGTTCAATAACACACATCGCGTTCGATCTTGCAAGATTATCATGTCATTTGTAATCATAATGAGCAACTTAAGTTTTTTCATATAATTATTGCTAAAGACAAACTCCAAAATTTTAAAAATTCGGGCTAAAGGCTTACCAAATATGAAGGTATCCAAACTTTTGTGGGGCATATATTCGTAGATTAACATTTTCTCATATCCTTTAACACAATAGCCCAAAAGTCTAACAAGATTACGGTGTTGAAGCTTGGCAATCAAAACAACTTCATTCTTGAATTCCTCTAAGCCTTGGCCTGAACCTCTTGAAAGCCTCTTTATAGCAATTTCTTGTCCTCCTCGAAGCTTACCCTGAGTAGTGAGAACAGAATTTCAGGTAATGCACCCGTCATCAATGTGAAATGATATTACAAAGGACAGAGCAGTTACCTTGTAAACAGGCCCAAAGCCCCCTTGTCCAAGCTTGTTTGCTTCGGCAAAGTTATCTGTGGCAACTAAAATACTTTCCAGATCGAAATTTGGCACATCAATGTCTTTTTTATTATCTTCTCTGAAGTCGCCTGAATTTATAAAATCTAGGACTCGTCTCTCACTGTTGTACAAGCTCAATTCCCAATTTCCTGGGTTGTAAAACCCGAAATTAAACTACTTCAGAATAAAGAATTTGACAAAATAATCTGCTGTTAAGGTATATGAGCATTGACTACCTTGTCTCCTGACCATTCTTCTTCTCCTCTTATGATACAAAGCAAAAGCAGTGCACAAGATAAACAGCATGACTGCAGTGACCCCCAGGAAGATCAGAGATAATGGCTTCTGTTTCTCCAAAGGTCCTTGGCGTTGATTCGAGTAAGATTCTAATACAGCGGAGAACAACATATATGGTAACTACAGTTTATTAGCTTGAAAAGCACCAAGTGATGATCATTATAACTACGATATTTAATTTCATCAACTCTTTCCCTAATCCAAGCCATAATAGTTCCTACTTTCCGATTTGAAACAATTCTTTCAAGGCAAAATTGTAAAGTGGTCCAAAGAAAGATCATACAATCAAATCATCCTTTGTTCAAAACCATAATAAGTGCAGATATTACATATTAGGCCTTATAGGCCCGAGCAGTATAAGCCTACCAACTGTCATGAGATGATTCTACCAGAATTGACTGATTATTTTACCATTAAAGAAAATCTAGATTGTTGAAAGCAAATTATAGCTACATCAGTTCTCACCTGAAGTGCAACTGATTTTTGATGGATCCCATTGAAAGGATGAATTGCAGATGCATCTATTTTTCCCATCGGCTGCTACATTGCAAAATGAGTTTGGCCAATCTTTGCAGTCTTCAGATGAACCGCAGGTTGGCTCTAACGGTAGATTCCACCCAATTTCTACCTCATAAAACCATTTATCTTCACTTAAAGAATCTGTACTAAAACTATTCCTGGTAGGAATGCAAGTACTGCTCACAAAAAATGGTGAAGTCCCAGGAAACTGCAGAAGCTTTTCCAGTGAATCCCTCACCCTGCATTTTTTTGCATCTTCAAGTTGGATGGAAAACCTTTGTCTATCCGGATAAATGCTAGTAACTCGGTAGGTTCGACCACTTGCATTGAAGCTAATCTGACCGGTATCAGTTTGGCAATTGAAACTGAAGTACATGGGATCACCACAACTCGATCCAGTGCTAAGAGGGTAGGGAATGATGTTGATGCCACAAGTCTCACAAGTTCTGTTTCCTGATTTTGCAACAGTGCAATGTCTGAGCGTCAGAACTAATACAGGTACAGTTTACAGGTATTGATAAAATTCTCTTCACTCTGTCTCATTGATTATAATCATGAGGTGAAAAAAGAATATGTTAACCTTCCCTTCTCTTTATATCGATTATCAAGATTTTTTTAAGTTGATCAGAGCACTTTGTCCTCTGGCTGCAGAATTACAAGTTACGACTGTTCCAGCTTTTGACAATTAAACATACAGTAAAACAAATTGGTTTTAAGATACTAAATTGGAATCACTGAACAAAACTGTAGCCAGAATTCTCAAAATTTCTTTTGGCAAAGTAATGAGAATGAGTCACCCCTAAAGGTAATGATGCATTATGGGCGGAGTTATAAGCATTCTTGGTGCAAAACTATTTGACAATTAAGCAATCAATCATCAGAAGAGATGGTTGTTGCTACAGCCAAATGTTCATTTTCCATAGAAATTTGAAAGGGATTAAGTACCCTGGTTCAAATAATGTAGCTGCAAAACTACTTAATTAATAAATGAAATACTATTAAAACGCTAAAATATGAGTACCTATTTCAGAAAGCTGCACGCGGAGAAAGAGGTCAAGACCCCTATTTGTATATGACTCCTGAATATTGTTTAGATCCTCCATCCAAATCCCGCAAGTAAGATTACTTGCACGACTCCTCAGGTAGTTTTCAACTTCACCAAATGAATAAGCCTGACAAGCGCAGGTTTCAAGGCACCTTCTCTTGCATTCATCTTTATCATTGACTGCAAACACTGGATTTGGCTTTTGCACTTTCATCATGCTTAATTTCAAGAATGTCTCATCCTTACCGTGTTGGCTGCATACCGGAGAATTTCTTGTGCACCCTTCTGAAAAGTCTCCATTATTCCAATTTTCCGGTGATTGTGGTTTAAACCCAGGTAAACACTTGCAGGGTACCCTGTTTTCCTTATTGCAGCTACCAAACTTACCACAAGCATCAAACACGCTACATCTGTCCCTTGGCTCCAACCATTTCAAATCCGTCTGATTATCCCCTCCAAATAGCCGCAACTTCCCATCGAAACCCATGACTAATCTGGTGTTGCTGTAGTCATAGCTTTTGGTTAGCGTATTATTACAGCCTGACCTATACTTCAAAATGGAACAATATTCCTCTCTTCCCCTTTCACTGTTACTGATATTCAGCAGCATAAGGGAAACAGAAGGACGAATCTCATCATTGGTAATGAAATTTCCAGATAATCCGCTTTTCCAATACGACATTTCGTTATTAGTGATGATATATTGGTTTTCTCTTTCTACATCTTGCCGAAAAACGAAGCGTCCCGGTGAGGGATCATGTTGACTTTTCCATGAAGTCAACCTTAGGGTTTCACTAATCTTCATGCCTGGAAGAAATGTATCAGTCGGATGAAGAAAACTTTGCCAGACCACTCTTGTTGAGCCATTATCTTGACCTTCAATTAAAATCAGGTTTCCAGAATCCAAGAGCTTCAGCGTCATCGTAGAAGGAGCTGAAATGCCTTTCAGAGTGGTCAACATCTTACGACGGCTTCTTCTATCAGAAAGCATGAGGTTGCTATCATTGCCAATTCCAAAAAACCAGGTCGTGGAATTAGACACTGATTCTTCTCTGTTAGCAACCCACACAATTGTCCGTGGCTCCAAGCCGTAATACCAGATGCCAACGTATCGTTCCCCGTGGGAGCTTCCATTAGGAGTGAAAAACCCAAGCGCGAATTTCTCACTCGCAGATATAAGTGGCCCTCCCGAGCTATTAATTGGGTTGTCAAACGTTATGGTGTCTCTTGCAAAGCAGCAGGTAAGGCCAAAGTACAAGAACAAGGCAAACATAGAGAAGCTAGGATAAAACATGTGGAGCTTGAAATGAAGAATGCATGTGCTTAAGGTCCTATAGTTCTAGTGCTGCCCCTCAAGGACGCCATTACATAAGAATACGAGCACTATATATTTTTCATCAGCATGGTAGTTAGAAGCGTATGATTGTACCACGTTGACTAGAACGTACTCTTGTAGTTAAGCAGCTGCCGCATTTAAGCCTTTTCATACCGATCTTCGGGATAAGAAAATTTGGGCATCTAATTTGAGGGAACTGAAACTTTCTGCGAAAAGTGGACTTTTAATTATTAAAGGTGTTTACATTAAAATAAGGTTGAAGGCCAGAAAGACCGGAACTGCCGATGTCCAATTTCTCAACTTCAACTGAGAGGGCCCTTTTGTAAATACATCCATCCAAATGCCAGTAGTTTATTGGTTGGAATTATAAAACCAATTAGAAGGGCAAGATGATGGTGAAGGTCTTCCACTTAAGTGAATTTCACGTTTCTTTGACGGTCTTAATTCTTAAATTTAACATACCATATTATGCTAGGCTGTCTCTTTGTAGTCCCGTCTTTGACAAAGAATATTCCATGTGTCACGCGGCTTTTTGATCTTTCTGCGTAAAAAAGAATGCACCTTTCTCTCTTGCTACTATTTCTGTTTGACGATAAGACTCATAAATTTGTCGTTAAATTTGTTGGTCAAGAAAATTACGTGTATTTATATACTACTATCAATTGTAGTAGTAGTTTTTAGTTTGTACAAGAATTAATAATATCATGGCTTTATATATTTGTCAAAACCCAAAACACATAGCACATGCCGCCCGGTATTGTATTCTTTGATATAGCTTTTTCCATGCAAATTCCACGAATGTCGATATGTCCGACTGGTTTAAGGGGATTGGCACCCTGCTGTCAAAGTTGTTTCGTTTTTGGGAATCAAATCATTGGTAAACACGATTTCTCTGTGTTTTTTTTTTTATTTTATTTCTGATTCTTTTTTCCCCCTCATTTCCCAAATAGATAGCTCAAATATCATCTATGATATATGGGATTCATGAAACAAGGCGTCACCTGCTACAATCTTCTGAGCTATACATTTAGACAACAAGTGGCCCATTCACCAATCAACATGGCTACTGCGTGCTCTTAGCGAGAGCGGGCCCTCCTTTAGAGATTGGAGCAGACCAAGAGTAGCTTTCTCCTGAGAGGCCCGCCCAATGGCTACCAACGTTGTACTTTGGGAGTTGAGAAAGTATTGGGCTTCAAATATCTGTCTTCTTATTAGCCGCACCAATCCATCATCTGAGCAAGTCCAGCAGAGCAGAATGATTTGCCTATGAAATCAAATCAGAAAGGAAATCCATGTGGGGTGCTGCTGGGATTGGGATCATTCTGATTGCTTTTCACTTCTTAAACTTGGCACTATTTCGTTTAGTGGGTTGGGTCGTAGACCGGAACGAATTTTTATTTGTCTCAAAATTTATCCGATTATATATATAAAATTTAAATTTAAATTTGATTCGATAAATTTTTTTTATTTGAATTCGATTTAATTCGATATTATATAAAATCGTATTCGATTTGATTTGAAATTAATAAAATATTATTTTTAAAATATAAAATATTATTTTTTAATATAAATATAAAATTAAATAAATATATAAATATATATAATTAAATTTTTATATATATATATATATCAAATCAGTATCTAAAATTCGATCTCTCAACTCATTGTAAATTTTTTTTATATTATTTGATTCAATTTAATTTGATATTTGATTTTAAAAAAATGATCTTAAAAAATTAAATTATATCAAAATTCATCGGATTAAATTATTTTTTTTAATTTTGTTGGATGTACCTTTCCAAAGAAAAGAATAATACTTTTGTAAGTTCTAAAAGAAAACATCGCGGAATAACAACGTAAAACTTTCTTATCCTACATTTTTTTTCATCGGAAGAAATGAATATTGGTGTAGTAGTATAATTTTTAAAGGAAAAAGAAGTTGGGGCTCAATTCTTAAAGTGTCGATATTAAATTGGGTTCATGCAATTTATTAGTGTCCAAAGATTGTGAATGTACAGGAATATTACCATCACCACCAAAATAAGGAAATCTTATCCCCTCATCAAGAGCGATCAAGATTTAAGAGATAATCTGAAGCTGAAAATAAGGAGAAAAAATCGCCGACATTGCGGGACCCAACCGTACACGTCAAGGATGCTAAATCAAGTGCAAGCCGCGTGGGTAAGGGAAGCGAATCCGAATCTCCACGCCCAACCAATGCCACGTGGCCGACACGTCACCGTCGAACAAATAAAAATATACTACTTTAAAATTAAAAAAAAAAAATCTTCCTTCCCAAAGTAAATGCAACTAACCGAGGAAACAGTGACAATGGCCGAAGCGGGGGGAAGGTTTCATTAATGCTATATATAAAAGCCACAGAAGCTATTGTTTCCTCTACGTTCCAACACCTGGCGGTACGTTTCACCACACCTCTTTTTCTTTCGATCCCTCTTCATACAAAACCCTAGACCTCCCCCCTATTTCTTTCCTATTTCTTTCCAATTTCTTGCCAATTTCTTTATCCGTACAACTTTTACTGAAATGACATCCTTAGCCTTATTTTTAGTTCTTTTATATTCTTTTTAATTAATTAAATTAGATTAAATCTTTATGGGGTGAGTGTTTGGTTGTTTTTTTTTTTTCAAATCCATTGTTCATATGTAACTGAAAAATAGTGAAAGGATATCAAATATCTTATTTTTTATTTTTTTTCAAATTTATGATATCATTTGATTCATAAAATTAAATTTTAATTATAAAATTTATAAATAAAAATATAATTATTATATTTTTTATAGACTATGAATTTTTATTATAAAGTAATGCTATTTGTTTTTAATTTTTTTCTATTTTTGATGTAGTAAATTTTTATTGAATAATTTTAAAATGATATATACTTTTGTTTGATAACTAAATTTATTTATAAATATAATTTTTATATTAAACCAATAAAATGTGAAATATGAAGAAAAACAAAACAGTGATTAGAATAAAAGGGTAGGGCGAAAAAGTATTTTTGTTTATTTAAAACTCGTATAAATTAAAAAAAAATTAATTAATTCTAGTATTTTATAAACGCTATATCATGTTTTGAAAAAAAGAAAGGAAAAAAAAAAGCACTATATCATCCGAGTGGTGGTGCTTGGTCGGTTAATTACGGAGAGGATTCTAAAGGCAATTTTGTAATTTGAAGTAAAAGCAAGGCTGTTCCTATAAGTGACTGCGACTTGCTCGTTTCTTTTCTCTTCTCTCTCAATCGGCCATTCTCTGCATACAGAAGAAAGAGAAAAGTCTGGGGAAAATACGAAAGAAAAAATTCTCCGGGAGAACGAAAGAAGAAGAAACTCGCAGTTAAGCCAAAACATCTCTCACTTTTGGTTGAAAGAGGAAGGGAAATGAAGAGCTGCGAGCTCTGCAAGTTGACTGCAAGAACGTATTGTGAATCAGACCAAGCGAGTTTGTGCTGGGATTGTGACGCTAAAGTTCACGGAGCCAACTTCCTTGTGGCGAGACACGTGAGATGTCTTCTCTGTCATGCGTGCCAGTCTGTCACTCCGTGGAGAGCCGCTGGTTCCAAGCTCGGTCACACGGTCTCCTTCTGTGAGAGGTGCGTCAACTACGGTGATCGAGAAGAGAGCGAAGGAGAAAATGAGGACGACGACGAAGAAGAAGAATATGATGATGACGTGTCAGTTGGTGATGATGTGGAGGACGGAGATAATCAGGTGGTGCCGTGGTCCACAGTAGCAAATAGACCTCCGCCGGCTTCCAGTTCGTCTAGTATCGAAGATTTAACCGGTGGTGAAAGAGAGGTCTCTAGATCAACAAATTCGTTTTCATTGAAAAGGTTGAGAGAAAATGCTTCAGATCTTCGCCCTCAGGTTGGTTTTCTCATTTGATCTCTGGTCAATTCTTGCTTTCTCTTTTTTTTTTTTTTTTCTTAATTTAAATTCTCTTTTTTCCTTCTCCTTTTGATCATTTATCTTTTTCATGAAATTAACGGTTAAGATTTCTTGTCATTGGCGTTTACAGGACGATCTATCTCCTAAACGGAGGTACGATTACCGTACTGTTTTGGCTACTCGGTACAGACCAAAGGAGGAAGCCGTATATGCTGACTCTATGAGGCTTTCGGATGACCAACAGATCAAACCGGAGCGAACGGCTCAGTTTCAGTCCGATGTGAGTGGCGGGGGGAGTACGGAGTCATTGGGGAAAAAACTAAAGCCTGATAAAATCCAGTAAAAAAATACATCCTGAATCTGCTAGTAACTGTAATCCCCTTAGCCGTCCGATTTGAGTTGGTTTGGCCTGATATTTCTGATGATCTAACCTATTCTAACTATAGTCTTTGATTAATCTTTGTGGATTGTTGACCCTTTTATTACTAGTTAATTTGTGCTAATCTAAGGATTTAACTAGTACTAGTTTTATGTCTCCTAAGATTTTGTAATTCTGATTTTTACACGATGTGCTGTGGTCTGTGGATTATCATCTTGGACCAACATTTTTCCAATATTTTTAGAAAATGTATGTAAAATATGAAGATTGGGCGTGGTGGGGGTGGCGAAGCTCCAAGGCAGGCAGCCTTAGCAGTTAGCAGCCTTAAGGATACGTCGACAGAGTGTGAATCTATAAAGCAAGTGGAGGTGCAGAGAAATGGTCTCTGTCCCTTGTATCTTTGAACGACATCCACTAGATGAGGCTATCCACCTTTGAATCAGTCTTATGATGTCAGTTATTGTCAGGCAAATGTCATGGACAGTCTCATGGCACGTATGCCAGTTACCAAAGCGGCAAAGCCTCCTTGTATCCCTTGGGGTGGTGGGATAGGGCTATTGCTCTTCTGGGGGACCTCCCCTCTGCCCTGTGTAAGGTTATGTGGCTACCCTTCTAAAGACAGTTGAAATTGAAATTTCTACAATAGATTGAGCTATCTAGCCTTGTGCGTGTCAAGCATTGCCAACCTAACATCGCAAAAAATCAAACCCGCAACAACCCATCTTCCCAGAACAAGCAAGCAGGCTGTAACACTGGTGCATGTACTTGTCTATTGCCTGACAAGCTCATTTCGTGTGCACACCAGTCACCACGTATTTTATTGTCGAGTGGTTTGAATAGCAACTTGAGCGAGTGCATATTGGGTCATTTATGAGAAACTTCGGTCAAAAAAGAATGGTGGATGCAACCAGACGAGATCCGGTTTATCGGATTGGTTGGTGAAGGGAGTGGCTTGTGAGTTATGGCTTTGTTATTGTTTGTAGGATAATTTTTTTTTTTTACCAATTTATTGCTTTTTCTTGTTGGCATGGGGTATGTTTTAAGTTATTTATTTAATGTAAGGTTGGAAGATATTTTGTATTTGTTTATTGATTTTTAGGCAAATATCTGTCAGCTTCTGGTATGACCTCCACCATCAAGAATTTAACGCAATAAACAAAAGGATTTGTATCTCTCTTTCATGTGCAGATTATTGCCGGCCATCACATCAGGTGGGGGGACGCTTTAATATGCGTAAGGAATGCAATTTTATTGAAACTAGAGACTAACACAATAATTTCAATATAATTAATCATAATCAACCCACATAAAATATATTCAAAAAAATGTGATCCTCAAATAGAAATTGTGGTTGAAGTAGAACCTCTAACCAACCAATTAGATTTAGTAGGACATTTCTAATCACCTTGCTTTAATTTGAAATTGGCGGGTCTAGTACGGCGGGTGTGATTAAAAGATTAAAAGAATCACCGGATGAAAAGAAAAAGATCAAGTGGGCTCTGGTTTTTTGTGGTGGAGATTTGTTGTAAAGGGTGGATTTTTGTGGTGGTGGTTGCGTGCCACTCGAAAATCCTGTCAGCAACCGTCGAGATATTATGGGGGTCTTTGATTGATCTTAGGATTCTACTGCTGACCATGACTTCACCATCTTAGACAATGACTGAAGAATATATTTGAATATTTTTTCTGGCTTGTTTCATGTACAATTCAGTGGTTGATAGGCGTCCGTCTTGTGTCTGTCGTTTCAATTTTAGACCATTCACTTGGTTCAGGTCAGCTGTAAAATTATATTCTAATTGAAGAATGTTCAACTAAGGACACACACAAAAAAAAAAAAAAAAAACAATTCGATTTATTTATAACTTTGCCTTAGCAACTTTGATTAAGGGTGGTTTAACAAAATCATCCCATCAACATTAGATTGAAGCAAGTAAACCCGCCAGAATTAATGTCACCTCCTTTTTTTTTTTCTTCATTTTCTTTCTTGCTTTCTTCTGTAATCTTTAGAACATATGTTATTGTTGCAAAAATAGAAAAAACTTCCTTTTTCTAACATTACACTGGAGGACGAAATTCTATCCTTGGATCAACTCTGGCAGTTTCAACCAAATACAGCTCCTTATCCTCTACGGGAAGGGGATGTCTTATTTTATAAGTAAAAGCTTAAAATCAGAAATTTAGGCTTGCTGGCTGGCTTTTTTTTTATGCCTCCTCGTTACTAGCTTTAAAGAATTGTAGACTTAGGCACTAAAATCGACCGTATACCTGCCTTATATTCACTTAAACAAATTGAATGTTTAATGAATAATTTTTAAATAAGTTTAATTTTTAATTTTTTTATATTTGTGTATTAAATTTAATAAAAAATTATGTTCAAGATTCACTAATTAAATAAACATATTATGAATATAATAATATTTGTTAATATTTGGTTCATTTACACAATTATATCAAGAATGTAAACAAATAAAATGTTTGATAAATAGTAAATGAATAGATTTGATTTTTATTTATTTTTATTTATTTATTAAATTTAAAAAATGATCACAAACAACATTTTCAATAATTAAACAAACAATTTGTGAATATAATAAAATTCATTCTTATCTAGTTTGTTTACAACCCTATTTATAGAGATCAATTATTGATCCCAATGCACCGATTGCTTGATCATTGTGATAACAATGAAATCTTTTCCTGAATTTATGTGTTTATATAGCACTATTGCTGTAAAATATACGCTGTTTTTCATTCCAAATTTGGCAGGTGACTCCACGAAATGAAAAGCAATTTACTATGCTAGGTAGGGACATAATTAAGATTTATGATAAAGTGAGGGCAAATATTTTAAGTTAATTTAAAATTTTTTCATTGAAATACAAAGTAATTTTAAAAATTATAAATAAATTAGTATAATACTTTTGGTATATGAAAAAATATATTTTTTGCAATATAAATAATATTTACATAATTAATTATATGATTTTTGACGAATATAACCTAAATACTATTTAGACAAATTATCTATCATAATAGACACACACATATATAGATATATTTTAATAAAAATTTATTTATAAAATTCTCAAAAATAAATATAATATGTGAAGGAATGAAATAAAAATTAACATGTCTAATTTTGTTATTTACTTTTAATATGTTTAGTTTTATCATTTACTTTTAATATATAAACATATTTGATTTTTTATTTATTATAATTTGAAGAATAAAAAATATTCTTTTTTATATACAATGAAAAGAAGAATGAAGACAATTAGTTAAAGATGATTATTTATTTATTTTTATTACTTCATATTTTATATTTTATATTTTTTTTTTGTGTTAAAAAGTGGTTAAATCATTTAAGTAGTGCAAGCTCAAAATCTCATTATCAATATAAGATCACTTTGCATCAATTTAAATAAAATTATTATGAAAATTTAAAAGTTTAATAATTTCAAATTTCCTAAAAATAATTTATTTTATTTTTACAAACATAAATATATATATATATATATATATTATAATGAAATTGCTTAGCAAGTGTCAGTGTTCCATTGCTAGACAAATAATGAAAAATTTCATGAATAAGCCTTAATTTAGTAGGGGCAAATTCACAGAGATTTTCAATAGGGACAAAACTTTAAAATTTTAAAACTTTTGACATTTTTTATAGTAAACCCAAAAGAATTTTATGGACTCAGCACTCAGCAGGGGCAATTACCCCCCCCTTCTGCTTCTCCGTACATCCGTTCCTGATGCTAGTAAGATTAAATGTTATCAATATTAGCGTAATAGTAGTGGGTCTTTTTTTTTGTTATTTTTATTTATTAATTTTTATTATAAAATTTATTTAATAAAAAAATAAAAGATAAAAATATCAGAAAAAGATAAATAAAGATAATATGTGGATATTTCAATTAATTTTATTTTTCTTACAAAATTATCTAATTAAAAAAATAATATAAAAGACAACAACGAAAAAAAATTATAAAAGGTGTTAAATAGACACTCTCATTGAATTTAAAATAATAAATTTTAAAATTAAGATATTAAATAATAATTTTATTAATATAATGTATATAATAATATTAAAAAATATTTTTACATAGACGAAAAATTAGGTTGAGACAAAACATCCTAAATATATTTTTGAGTCGATTTTGTTTTTCTAAAAAAAAATACTCAACCTCATCCCAACTTAATTTCGATTTAAAAAAAAATTATCTTTTATCATATTGAGATAGATTGAAACTTATTAAATATGAATTATTTTGACATTTCTATCATTTGACACATTTTTATTTTAAAATTTATCTAATTGAAAAAATAAAAATGTGAAAGATAAAAAATAAAAAGGTGTCACATGAACATTTTTATTGGTTTCCTTTTTTTTTTTTTCACAGAATTAATTTAACTTAAAAAATCATAAAAACATTAAAAAAACATAAATATAAAATGACAAATGAAAAAAAACAAAAATAAAAAAATGGTGCTCAGTGGGGCACAATGTGATATTCCAATTTAACTTAAAATATTAATATATTAAATTAAAGTACTAAATAATAACTTAATTAATTAAAAATAAATAAACAATTAAGAGAAATAAATAAACAAAGAAAAGGAAAAAAGAGATCATGAGGCTACCATATGAACATCTAAATTAAGTTTAAAATATTAATATATTAAATTAAATTATAAAGTAATAACTTAATTATAATATATATAAATATAAAATTAAATAGATAATAAAATATAAATAATAATAAAAATAACTTTTTAATCAATAATATCAAATGGACATCAATAAAAAATTATAATATTAAAAAATGTCATCAAATATAAAAAAAATAAATAAGAAACATATGACTTGACATGTGATATTTCTTAAATATCAAGTGAGTCACAAAAACAAAATTTTAAATCTTTAAAATATTTATTAAATAATATAATATAAAAGTAAAAAAGAGAAAAAATAGAATACATGACATACCATTGGTATCAAGTATGTCCAATATAAAAAAAAATTAAATCTCAAAAAAAATATTTTTAAAAAATTATAAAAGACAAAAAAATTGGTTTAAGTTAGCTCCCACTCTTAAAAAATTTAAATGAAAAATGTATTAAATATAAACATTTTAAAAAAGTAATACAAAAATTTTAAAAATTAAAAAATAAAAAATTTGAGTGTAGTATAGCATCCAAATTAAACTCCGTACAATAATAAAATTGATCTAATAGATGAATTTTAAAAAAATAAATAAATAAACAGAAAAAAAAAACTTGATAGAATGGATCCCACCTAACAAATTAAAGTCTTTAAAAATATATTTATATAATTTTTTTAAAAAAATAAAAAACTTGAAAAAAATTAAAAAGAAAAAAAAAAAAGAGGGAAAACAGCTTGTATCTTGTGGCATAATAAGGGGGAGGGAGAGTGCTCGTTTATTAGTAAAATTAAAAGTACATCAGTAAAATTAAAAATATAGATAGATTTGGTAAGTGTGAGACCACATTTGGAGAGAAGTAGCTTTCTTAGAGTGCATCAACACCGTGAAATTTTTCTAGCGACGTAAACTGGCCAAGTTCGGTGAAGATGCCTTCGTGTCCTACCTCATTGTTCAAACCAAACGAGTCTTTGATGCTACTAATCTTAATGCCTTGCCTAGCTCAAATACCTCAATGCTCAGGCTACTTAACATAATTGCATCTACACGAGTATTTTTCTTGGGTTTTTCTCTGTTCTAGTACTTGATAAAATTGCTCAGGCTAATTTGTTTGGTGAACTAATGCAAAAAGAAAGAAAAAAAAAAAAACAGACATGAACGTTGTTTACTTTGCATCTCTTATTCGCTGTTTTCTTCAGAGGTATGTGTAAACAGAGTAGCAAGTAGAACCAAAATTATGGTGTCTCTATACCAGTCATCGAGGTTCAGCCCCGACAGCACATGTCCCACAACACAAGGGAGAAGCTTAGGTCAAAATGAAACTGACGGTCCTACACAGGCATTTGAACCACAATTTATCTGGGATCAATTCTAAATGGACACATCGTAAAATTACATCCAAAGGAGTTAAAGAATTTAGAAAGATTGCAGAAGATACTCAAGTCAACCTCCTTTATTGGTGAAATAAACTTCCAAAGATCAAGATCGAAATTATGCAAACATCATTTGATCCACAACAGTTTATGAAAGATTGACTGGTTCACCACACAGTTGCTCCAACTCACTTTCCAAAAGTTTGAATAAATTTGCTTTAGTTCGTCGATAAACCCAAGCTTGAGCATTATGATCCCAATCAAATCTGGATGGACCACTGCATAGAAAACATTACCATTCAAATAGAAAACCATAATTCCTGAAAATGATATCATGAAAACTGACAAAAACTTGGCATCATTTATACTTCAAGAAACATAATGGTAACAACAGGAATTGGGTAAAACACCCACAAGCAGTCTTAATATTAAGAGTTGTTAGGTAAAGATAGTTGTCAGCTAGAGTCTAAACATGAAATCATATGAGTATAAAAACAATAATCTTCTCTATCTAAAGGGTCATTTGTTTTTGTTTCCATTTTCTGTTTTCATTTTCAGTTTTTTTGAAAATTAAAAATAAAAACAAGTTTGGTAGGCTGTTTTTGAAAACTGAAAACAAAGTTTTGAAAATTATTAAAAACAGAAAAATGGTACTTCTAGTTTTTTGAAAACAATGTCACTGTTACCACACAATCACTGTTCACAAAATTATAATTAAACTGCTACAGTAACACTACAATTATTATATTAATAAAATAACATTTTTATTATATAAATATTATATTAATATTATTATATTATTAATAACAAATGAAGCCGAAAATCTTTCACCACTTTCTCTTATATGTTTTTATTTTCATATTTCTAAAACAAAAACATTACATTCAAAACATATTTTCAAATTCGATAAATTGAAAATAAAACAAAACAAAATTTTCAAAAACATAAAACACACAACAATACCAAACCACCTCTAAGTGGTCCCACTTAACAGTAAAAAGTCAATCTTTATAAAACAGAATTAGATACAGGGTTCACAGCATTTGGAATGTACCTATGTAAGTCCAACAAAAGAAGAAACGCCGATGGTTGTAACATTTTTGTTTCTCTTCGAATAGGTGGAACTAGATTCCCTACCATTCCTACACTTATTTTTCATTTAGAGAAACAATAGGATGCATTAAGGTTCAAACTTTCTCCTGCTTGTGGAGGCCACTTGGTAGGGAAGAAGAGAAAAAAGGAAATGGCAACCGAAGTTGACAAACAAGTTGTTGAATATTGCAAATGCAGAGATCATATGACGATGTCAACATTTAACCAGTGGCTCTTTTAAAGACTAAAGAGCAGCAGAGTTTTGACTTTAAAATGACATGTTAACTTTAAATCAAAATGGCAAGTTGTTGAATATTACTGTCTGTTTTTCTTGAAGAGAGTACACAGTTTTAGCACAAAGGCCTCTAAGGCGTCAAGTATCAAGCATTCAAGTTTTAGTTCTATATCTGACTTTTTACAAATGAACACCCATAAATCATCTGGGAGTATAGGACCCAACTCCATCACTTTTATTCATACAACGACCATTAAAAACACAAGCAGGTCCAAAATCTCGTAATTTTACTTCTATCTTACAAAATAACCACCACCTGAAATCTACATGAAAAGTTTCAACAAATGATAAAATTCTTCTGGCAACTAAATCACCATTTCCTGAATATATTTAAAGTCTCAGACCAACCAAAATAAGCCAAGTGAAAATTACATCCCAACTCTTTGATTCACCTTGTCTTTGATTATTAAAAATTATTCGAGCAAATAGAAATACAACTTCTGTAATATCAACATTTGATTAATTTAATTCCAGTGCACTTAAAAGATGAAAATTAAACAGTAAACTTTATTTATATACTCAAATTTACTTGCATGGTGCAAGCAACTTTAGTAAAAAAGAAAGGAAGCTATCAAGAAATGTGTCAGAGACTAAATAAGAACCATGCACAGTTCAAGGACACACAAAGGTAAACAAAACAAAATGTTCAATTCCCAAGAACACAATGCCAAATCTAAGACTCTCACAACCAGATAATGATAAAAATAAAAGGAAAGATCATACCTTACTGGAGAAGATAACCAAATTTGTCGATTAGGGGTCTGTTTATTCAACACATAGGTGCCCAAAGCCCCAAGTTTTAGTGTCAATACTTCATTCTATCAAATGTAAAAATTGTGTTAACCTCCAAAACAAAGCAAAGCAACTTTCAAAACCAGCAAACAAGTTTTAACACTTACACCATAGTCCACATCGAAACCATCGATTTGAACAATATCACCATATTCCTGCCACACACCCAACACTATATTTAGAAAAAAAAAAAAAAGAGCAGTTAAATTAAACGAAAATAGGGTTACTTGCCTCCAATTTTTCTTGAAGGTCATGGATTGTGGAATTAGCTAATCTATGAAATTCATCCTCCTGCAGAACCGAGCTGTTTCCGCATTAATCATTAGAAAAAAGTTCATATTTTAACGATTTCTTAATCAGAAGTAAATGGGTGATTAGAAAGATGGGATATTTACCGGTAGTCGATGGTGGCGGGTCCCTGAAAATCCTGGGGGACGTTGAGAGGGCGAGAGCAGAAGCTTCTAGAAGCGGCGAAGGACCAAGGAGTGTCGTTAGGTCTTGAAGCTTGTCGAAGAAGAAGAGAACGTGAGTCACGTGATAAGCGGACAGGTATGGAAGGCGGATGTTTGAGAAATTTAGAGATTCTTCTGAGAAGGGGTAACCTGGAAGCCATAGCCGATCAACTCTGCCAATTAGCTAGTCCGTCCAAAAGAGGATGGCTTTGGTGTAATAGGTTTTAGTTATTGTATTGTAGGCTGACTTGTAAGTTAATGGATCAAAAGTTTGGAGAGTTTGGGTTGAGCCCAATTAATGAACAAGAAGTTTGTTGTTTGCAAACCCAAAAGTAAAAAAATTCACATTCGAGGATGGAGATGGAATTAAAAATCCTTTAAAAAGGAAAAATGGTAACATTCCCTTGGAAACAGCATGGCCTTTAAAAAGGTAATTTGGGGCTTGATTAAGTCATATTAAAGCACGTTTATTCCTACGCTAAAATATAAAATTGGCAACAATACAAGCTACTCCTTCATTTCTTTTCTTTTTTCGGTTTACTTTCAACCATATGGAATCACTGCATGGATTATTGGCTATTCGTAAACTATACATGTCCCTCAGTGAAAATTAGTGAAAATATTTGCAACTCTGTTCAGTTCTATATGCTTTGAAATATTCATTTTTCTTAGAAAATATAGATTTTCTTAAAAAATTTTTAGAAAATAATTATGAAAAAGTTTTAATAATCAAGAAAATCTTTAGATTTTACGAGTAATATGTTTAGAATCAATTTTAATTTGTACTTTGTAATATGTATCTCATTATTGTAATTCCATGAACTATTTCATAATAAGTCAAATATCAAACAATAATAATCTTTTTGACCTGTCGCCTAGGGATGAAAGTCCTCATCTTTTTGTGTTATTGTTTTCTTGTCTCTTGTACTATTCTTTTCCACCCACAATTCTTTTTATTTAAATTGGATAAATTATACGAATATTCACTCAATTTTAATTAATTTTTTATTTTGATCATCCATTTATAAAAGTATAATGATTTGGTAGCAACGTTTTTATAATTTTTTGATCACCTGACCATTAGTGAGGAACGAAATTCCTCATGATTTACTTGAGTTTAATTAAAAAAAAAAAAACATTAGCTCACATGAACTTGATTTTCTTTCAAAAACGCTTTCGCCGACAAAGATTGAACTTTTAATTTAAAGATCAAGGTTTCAAGAATCAATTAGAAATATTAAAAGAAATATATAAAGCAAATAGGGAGGTACAAACTCGTTTACGGCTATACGCGATTGTAGTTCCAGATAAATTCTCAAGAATTTTAGTAGTAGCAGTATCTTTTTATGTTATTTATTATTGGTATTGGATATTACGCTAATCACAGTCACACATGAAATAAAAAAAAAATATATATATATATATATATATATATATATAAGAAAACAACAAAAAAGATAATTTATAGGTACTTATCGATAAATTGGTGAACAAATTTTCAATTTTTTGGTTTTTTTCTTTCAATTCCAAAAGAGAGCCAAATTTCCACAGGCGTAAGAGCTATCATGTTATCTATCTTTAAGCTGCGTAGAAGACAAAGATCCACTCTTTCCATTTCTTCGAGGCTCTTTCTCCTCCTTTCATTTGTGGCTGTTATAGACAAAACCTACCTCCCCTTCACCTAAAAGACAGGAAGGGAACGTGTTTGCCTTTTATTCTGTTTTTTCTATGTTTTCTTGTTGAAGCAACCTCCCTCCCTCCTCGTTAGAAACAAGGTCATTGCTTTGCAATAATCTGGCTATCAAGAGGTAAGATTTTTCTTCTTCCATTTCTTTCTCTTCGGGGTCATCCTCCTTCTTTGTTTGCATTCTTTGTGTTTTCTTTCGAGATGAATAAATAAATAAATAAAAACTGGGTCTTTCTTTTTTCATGCGTTTTGAGTGGTTTCCGTTCTTGGGTGTTTCAGGAATGGTTATTTTCTCTGGACTGTGTCCTGAGATAATGCTGTTTTTTATGGTGCTATACATGTTTATTTGATGTTCCGAATCTCCTGCCTTTTTTTTTTTTCTTTATAATTCATGTTTGCTTAGAGTGCAGGCCAACAATGATGGGATTAAGTTATTCTAAATTTCTTTGAACTAGTTTTCATTGTCATTTTCCTTTTAAAACTAAATGTATTTGATTGGGCTTGGATTCATATTCCATGTGAAATCTAAGTATCTCTTTGTTGTTGACCATTGGTTTTGGTTGTATTTGATGTATAATCTGGTTGATTGGTCTTTTCCTTCATAGCTTGATTTTATCTGTGTTCGTTATTTTGAGATTTTGTTATGGGCCAATAATCAATATTTTTCTAAATGATTGATTTCCTTGAATGAATATATTGGATAAAATAAAAGTGGAATCTTGTTAGAGAGGGAAGAGTACAATTTGCAGTCTCATTAGATATTTATTTACAACTTGACCTTCTAATGATAATTGAAAGTTTCCTTTTTTTCTTCTCTTCCAATCCTTTTGAGAAAGAAGTCTAGTATGCTAAATCCGGAAGACATTAGGCATTGCAATCTGATTGTCTATTCTGTCTTTGATTGCTAAGTTTTCTTTTGCATTCTTTCGATGTAGGGATTAACAATTTGAAGTTTTTACATTTTCCTCTGCCTATACTATTCTGCTTCAAAATCTACTTGTAGATGATGTGATCCTTATATTGATTTTTTTTTCTCTTTCATTATTGTCAGGCAGGTGTCTCTTGTACTTGTTAGGGATTTGGTTTTCCTAGTTGGAAAAGATTGTTTTTCACTCTGGCCGCTGCAACGAAACTGAACTTTTCTCGCACCTCAAAGTGGGAGTGGGGTGACAAGGAAGGGGTGATTCTGTTTTTTGTTTTAAGGAGATCAAGATCATCCCTCATCTGGAGATTAGGACGTGTTTCGGAGAGTCTTTCACTTAATATGGTTAATCTCAATGTTTGCTGAGTCCCTGGAAGTTTGATTGTAGCTTGTCATTTTGATGGTCGCAGAATTAGGTGTTTTTCTTAGTATTTTGACCCTTAAATGATTAGAGCAGCTAGGTGCTCATAGCTTTTTATGTAACACAATAGTAGTTCTCCTGTGGATGTAGCGCTAGTTTGTATCACCACAATATGCTTAGATTTTCATGCTTCAATGCTCACATTGGATGTCAGAAACCAAAGGTAAGTATAAGATTTGCTTGAAGTTTTTGACAACTTAAGTAAAATTTGGGTTGTGTACTGTAGTTTTTCACGACTCAAGTATTCATTGGTCCTTCAGAAAACAGTTCAGCCATATGTTGAAGCAATGCATAAGACTTTAGAAGATTTTTCTCAAGGTCAAGCCCCTAAGGATTCAAATAATGCTACAGTCATTGACTCATTTTTTCCGGACGGAGAAAGAATTGCAGAGATTAATGACAGTGTCAAAACTGTTACGGATTATTCTTCTGGTTACCTTAGCTGGAAATCAGAGGAAATGAAAGACAAATTTGATCTTGATCCTGATTCCAGGGTCCATCCGAATCGACACTATCTTAAGAAGAGTTGGTCACTTGGAAGTGGACTGTTTCTGGAAAGCAGGGTTCCTGGACAAAATGATACGGATGATGAGATTGATCAAGGATTTATTTCCGCTTACCATGACAATGGGTTGGTTGAAGCAGATAGCTGCAAACAGAAAGTAGCGAGCCAAAATGCTCCATACTCAGAATCTGTTCAAGTAAGCTCTAACCATGTCAATAATGAACCGATTTTCTCTGTAGGAGATGCTCAGCATTCAGAAAAGGATGGCCATGATAATTCTGATTTACCTTTATTTGGTGAGGGTGCTAGTGGCTCTGGCGACCGTACGCCTAATAATGCGCCTGTGATTGTGAAATCATGTTCTATGCCAAACATTGTTGCATCGATACTCACTTCTGGAGAACATTCTCCTTTTAAATATTTGACTCATCATCCTAGATCTTCTGAGGATGTACATGTTCTTAACATGAGACGAAAGGAGATTTCCATCCATGAGGTTGATACAGAGGTGATGCGAGAACAAGAAAGAGATGATGGTATACATAAAAATCAGAAAATTAACTTTGAAAGTTTGTTCAATGAGGGATTTGATTCTTATAGTTATTCTGCATCAGCAAATGACTGGATAGTGCCAGATTCCGATGAGGTTAACTCAGTGAAATTCCTGCAACAAGAATCACCAGTCCCGAATTGGGAATTGACTGGCAAGGATTTTAAGATTAAGCATATTGAGGAATGGGTTAATGATCTTCAACACTGCCGCCCGATGGAAGAAACATTTGAATTATCCCATCCCAGTGATAGTGTGAAGGCAGAACCCGCGGTCTCAAATGGTTTGACTGCTGCAAAGGCGGATGTTAAGGTAACTCCTTGTATGGAAGCTGCAAAAAGATATATATCTTCTTTGAGTGCCTCAGCAACCACAGCTCAGCTGGCAAATCATGATTTGCGTATTATACCATTTCTCAGTGCGTTTGTCAGCTTGAAGGTGCTTAATCTATCAGGAAATGCTATAGGTGAGTATCTATCTTCAACTGCAACAATATTAGTTCTGTATTTGTCTTTTATTTTGATATGCTTTAAAGTCTTATGATGTGGAGTTTTTGAAACTGTTCTTTTGTATAAATAACTTTTTCATTGTTGTGTGCTTCAGCAAGAATTACTGCTGGTGCTCTTCCTCGGGGACTTCACTTTCTGAATCTGTCAAAGAATAATATATCCACCATTGAGGGTTTACGTGAACTCACTCGACTTCGTGTTCTGGACCTGAGCTACAACCGGATATTTAGAATTGGTCATGGTATGCGACACAATCTGCAGTGATTAGCTGTCCTATTTTCCATGCTTCTTTACTCTTACCTGCCAACATTTTAACCCTCAACTCTACTTTCTCCCACATAATCCATTGTAGGCTTGGCTTCTTTTTCCTCTCTTAAAGAGTTATACTTGGCTGGAAACAAGATAAGTGAGGTAGAGGGTCTTCATCGCCTCTTAAAATTGACTGTGTTGGATCTGCGTTTCAACAAAATCTCTACTGCCAAATGTCTTGGCCAACTTGCAGCAAACTATAATTCCTTGCAGGCCGTCAGCTTGGAAGGTAACCCAGCACAGAAGAATGTTGGAGATGAACATCTGAAGAAACATTTGCTAGGCCTTCTTCCCCATTTGGTTTACTTTAATCGGCAGGCTATTAAATTCAGCACATTGACGGATGTTGCAGAACGTTCAGTTCGGCTAGGCATTGGTGCCCATCAATTCGACCGTAGCCTTAGATCAGAACACAAAGCTACAAGGAAGAGTAACCATGGTACTGCTACACACCGGCCATCCTCTTCATCAACTCATGGTCATAGTAGTCAAGTCACGGTTTCCCCAAGACATTCTAGATGCAGACATGGGCGCCTGCCTCCTTGTGGGATCAAAGCAACAACCAATCATCGTAATCATTATTTAGATCTTGGAAGCAAACTTCTGAACTTCAAATCAGAGCTTTCCATGCTAAGGACCCGAAGTGAGGGAACTCTGGGGCGTCAGTGATATCAGTGACTTGATTAATGCAGTCTTGTTGCTATGCTATTCACGTTCGAGTTAAGCTGGTTGTCGGTACTGCAATTAATTGTCAGTCAAGATATCTGGTGTGACCAACCATTTTTACAGTTGATTAGCAAAATGGGAAGTAGTCGCATTTGTCCCGTTTTAAAGTTCCTTATTTTTGTGTAGGAAAATGTTTGAAAAACGGGTTATATTGCATCCATCGATTATATGGTAATCAATGTCATAACTCATTTCTAGTTCCATCACGTTGTCCATGTCATAACCTGAATCTGTTCTCATTTCGAAGCAGCAACAGTACAAAGTAAATGGTCACTCAATCCATAATTATGCTAAATTACTAAAAACGCCAAAGCTATATTGGTCAGAAACAAATGCAATAATAAGAAAGTGCAGCAAAATCTGGTATTCCTACGACATCAGTAACATGCCTGCAAAAGGCTTAGAACTACGCAACGAAGAAATTCAGTACTGCACGTCATATAAAAGGCATTGAACAGTAATTGTCCAAAACGGGCAATGCAGTTCACGAGAAAGTACACAGAAAAGAGAAAAGCCAAGAGACCTATTACCATCCATATATACAAAGCATAAAAAGTCCACCACCATACAAGATTCTCATGCTTCTTTGCCACCACAAAGTCTTCATTTTGGACACCTTTTCATCCTTTGCTGCAACATTTGAGCAAGGGCATCATCCCTATCCAGTAAATCAAAACAAAAGTTGACACTTAATTTGCAAAAGAGTTCATTACAAAATATCATATAAAGGGTAAAGCCAAGCTATAGATTTGAAAACTTAAAAATAATGCATTAGAAACCACACGAGTGATACAGGTTTTACAATCAGAGCCATAAGTGAGTTCTCTGCTCCCATGAAAAATCAGTAGAAAAGGGTGAACGGGAAGATATCACAAATGGGTCTCAAACAGATTAAAGCTCTGAGTCATGTTAAATTACCTGACTTTGTAGGTACTTATCATTGCTCCAAGTCATATCAAGCATCTGCCAACAAGAAATATGAACCAGTGAAAGAAAGTAATTTTAATAGATTAGAAAACGCATAATATTATGGGCCTTACATACTTCTGCACCTCTAGAAACAAATGTAACACAAAATATATCATGTGCATCCACCACATAAAAAAAAAAATTGCGACGCTGTTATACAACTTGATTCTGAATTCTATCTGCATAGCTCAAATGTATAAAATTTTGTTTAGACCAGAAGCATGAGGAGAGAGCACTACTAATTCAGCCTCAAATTCACTTCAAGCAATGGATTTAGCACAAATATCTGCTTCAAGTTTCGAGATATACAAACATTTCACATCTCCAAGTCCCTAGGTCATTTAATCATGCCATAAGCTATCAGGTTTATCCCCAAGGTCTATATTTATGCTTTCTTGGCTGCTACCATGCACCAGGCTCATCCCTTCAATGGTTTACTAATCTTTGCTATTTCCATCATCTTTTTCCCAGCCAGTATCCAAGCAACTAAGCAAAATCTAAATGCATGCTGCTACCACTTACTTCTCATAACTACATTCATTCCTCATTTTACCCGTGTCTTAACTTTTAACAAGCATTTCAGTATGTGAATAAAGCCAAAAACTCCAGAAATAACTGTACAAAGTTATATAAAACCCAATTAAACCAGTTAATTACCATCAAGCAAAAAATAAAATCAATTACAAATTCGGAAACTCCAAACCTCTGTGCTCCTCCTCCGCATCATGATACTCAAGTTCCTCTTCCGGTACCGGCTGCAGCTCCACATCTTCTCCAACAATCTTCTTTTTCGTCACCTTCTCGGCTCCGCCTATTCCGCTCTCCTCCTCATCCGGGTATCGAACCACCACCACCGGACAAATGCAGTGGTGGACGCAATAATCACTAACGCTTCCTAGCCTTCCTTTGCTTGTCCTCCTAGCGGCTCCAAACCCTCTGCTCCCCATGATCACCGCACTCAGCCCTAACCTCTCCACTTCCAAACACAATCTCTCTTTCATGTCATGGTCTTTCACTATATGGATTTTAAACGGAATCTGAGCATCCACTAACGGCTGCGCCAGCGTGTTCGCTTTTGTTGTCGTGAAAATGTCGAAATCGTTCTCAAGCTTCTGCTGCGACTCTTCGTCAGAGTGGTCTGCGGTGATGGCGGTGGCTTTTTCGTGCTTAGTTGTGGAGTTAGGGGTGATTTGGAGTTGGATAGAGCCCCAGTCGGCTCCGTAAAGGACGGAGGTTGGGCGAACGTGGAGCAGTATGACGGCGTCTCCCGGACGAAGGTAGTTCTGAACAGCCCATCGGACAGCGTAAGCGCTCTCGTCGCTTAAATCGACGGCGATGGCGATGCGACGCTGGGCACCAACAGTTGGAGTGGTGGATGTTGTCAACGGGACTCGTGGTGAACCCGGTTGGATTCGGAGAGAAGCCAGGGGTGGAACCGGAAGGTCCGGTTCCAATTGGTGCCGTTGCTGTTGATTCATCAGAAAACAGGATTTGGGGAAACTGAAGAACGGGTTAGCCTTTGACGAAGGAAAATCAGAGAAATTGGGATGAGCTCTGAAAAGCTGTTGACACGGCTTGCTAAATTGCGCTAGCAATGAGCACGATATTGATGCCGCCAACCTTTTCTTTCTTTTTTTCTTTTTGTCCGTGTGTTTGACTTTTGACTGAGACAAGCCCAAGCCCAATAAGATATTGTATACACAAATAATTTTCAATTTGAAAAGGAAAAGTTGTTAGCAATTTAGAGGCAAAAGTAAAATATAATTGGCTAATCCAGCCCTAAATTTTAACAACTTGGGTAAGTGGTTTTTTAATTTTTTATTTGAAAAAAGAGGATTTAAACTTTTTTTTTTTTTTTTTTCATGAAATCATATACAAATCAACTAAAACAAATGCGTCAGGATTGTTTTTTTATTCTTAAAGGGTTAATCAGTTTTCTTTAGGTGAAGAAGGGATCTAGATATGGGAGAAAAAAGAAAAGGTTTCTTTAGGTGAAAAAAATTATAATAATTGATATGCCCAACCCACTGCCTCCTCCAATCTCCTTTGTGCACATATTGGATACGGTCAGCCACCTAAAGAGTGTATTTTATTCATAAAATTATAATACGACGGGATATAATAGAATAATATTATAATTAATATTAGATTAAATAATATTATATTATTTTATATTTAAATATATAAAGATTATAATATAATAATTTATTTATTAGTTAAAATTATTTTTTATTAAAATTTTTATAATTTAAATTATTGATATAGTTTTTAAAGATACAATAAAATATATAAATTTAATTTTATAAATTAAAAATAATTTTTTTTACTTTATAAGATTGAATCATCTTATATTAAAAGGATGATTAATTTTTTTTATAATTTTATTACTTTTTATGGATATAAATTAAATATAATATAAAATAATTATCAATTTATCTTTATCAATAATTTTATGTGTCAAACTAAAATAATAATAAAAAAAAACATATGCCCTGACAAGTTATCAATCTCAATGTTCTAACTTCTAACTTATTTGTAGTAATAAAGACACTAATTTTCATATTTAATTAGATCCAATAATTTATATCATCATATAATAAAAAATATTTTATTCATGTCATATCTTATACGAAAATCACATGTCATAATTCGTGTTGATACTAAAACATAAAATATAATATTTTGATTTTATTAAATTTATTTATGATTTTTTTAAAATTTTAAATTATGTTATCTTCATATTTTTTATTCGTATCATTTTTATATTATATTATCGTATCGTATTTTAAATTATCAAATTTATATTTAATGATTGAAATCTTAGCATAATCTGAATTAATGAATTAAAATAATTCTTGAGACCAAAGTTAAGAACCAATAATTAAAAATATATGTTGGCAATGGAAAAATGTCCCCTGATTAAAGCGTGCGTTACATATATGTATTTGACAGCTCAGTATATATCATCTTCAAAAGTCATTGTGCTATAAAAATTGAAAGTTTATATGAATGTGATTTTAAAAATCCTAGTGTTTAATGAAGTCAATATCAAGTTCTTGAACTTGACAACTTATACAGGCGTGTAGATAGATTACAAATCTTGAAATCTTGTCTTGTAATAATCCTACTGTTTTTTTTTTTTTTTTTTCTTTGGGGAAAAAGTGTTATGGATTGCCAGCTTTTTAGTGAAACCATTCGAGATGACCAAAAGAGAAAGGGACAAAATAAACATTAACTCCATAAAAAGCCAAAAAACCATTGGGGTCTGTTTCGCGAGCGAGTAATATACGGTTGGAGATTGAAGAGCGGGATATGAGCGGCTTTTGTTGGACATGCGAGGCAGAAGGAGGTTATCAGGGTATTAATCATAAGCTGGACATAGCTGTAACTTGTTAGGAGCGATTCGTTCGTAAAATTTTAAATTTTGAGAGGAACAATAATTTTAAAAAAATATTATTGAAAGGAAATATATAATTTTTAAATTTTATTAGTTTAAAAAATATAAAATTTTTATTTTTATTCACGAAAATATAAAATTTTTTATTATATTATTTTTGATAACATATAAATAATATATGACATTTATAATATTAATATATGAATAATATGTGATATATAAATAACACATTATTTTCATTGAAACTAAATAATTTTAAAAAATATTTTTTTATATTTTTAACAAATATATAAATTTTATGTGTAATAATACTAAGTAAATGTATTTTAAATTTTATATATAATAATATTAAATAAAAATATTTTACATTTTATTTTTTTCATATTTCAGCAAAAAATACGTTTTTTTATCTTAGAAAAGTCATATTATCAACAAAAATTACGTTTTTTATTTAGAAAAATCATTTTTATTGAATTTTAAAAAATATATTTTTCATATTTTCAATAAAAATTGTGTTTTTATCTTAAAAATATAATCTTTTTAACAAAAATTATGTTTTTAACTTAAAAATATCATCTTTATTAAATTCTAAAAAATATAATTTTCATCTTTTTAATAAAAAATTGTAATTTTATTTTAGAAATATTATTTTTCAATAAAAACTGTATTTTTATCTTGAAAACATTGTCTTTTAAACAAAGACAGCATATTTTTACCTTAACAATGTTGTTACTTTTTAAATTCTAAAATATAATTCTTTTTTCATATTTTTAACAAAAATCATATTTTTTATTTTAAAAATATTGTCTTTTTTGAAATATAAAAAATAATTTTTTTATATTTTCAACAAAAATTATTTTTTTAATCATAACTATTGTGAGGATTTTAATAGTATTATGCTAAAAACGTAATCTTTATTTAAAATATATTAAGAAAAATATTATCTTTATAATATTTTATAAAATATTACTACGCTTTTAAGGTCAATAACTTATTTATAAAATCTAAACTTGTAATTCAGTGAAGGCAAATAGGAAAATTTTTTCTTTTTTTTTTTCGAAATTTTAAAAAATCTTAGAAAAAGAGAGTTTTTTATTCTCTCATAATTTCCCACTTCTTGACATTATTAGAAATCTTAAAAAACCATAATAATTATATTTTTATAAACTAGACTAAGAAATTAAAATATAAAAAGTAAGATTTCAAGAGAAAAAAATTTTCTCTAAAACAAACGCCGTCTTAATATATTTCTTCTATTTCAAAGCACAAAATTTTCAAACTTTATTACTAGTACTTATGCTTGCTTTGGTGATCTTTGACGGTGCTTAAACGTATCTAAAATTTGCTTCCGACATATTTATATCTCACTGGTTTTATGAAAAAAATGAAAAAGATAAGTAGAAGTGAAATGTCTAACGTTTTTATGATGGAAAGAAAATAATTAAACCAATTAAAGTTAACTTTTTCTAGTTGAATACATTATTTTTTTTTTGTTTGCTTTTAGGTAGGGGTGTGGAAAACATTTGAAAAAATTAAAAATTAATTTAAAATTATAATATTTGGTTCAATTTAAATCAATTTTTTTCTTATTTAATTTGGATTAAATTATATATTAAATATATATATATTATATTCGGATTGAATTTTAAATCAAAAAATAAAAATAAAAAAATCAAACTAAATTAAATCAAATAAAATAATATGTACATATTATGTTCGGATTGAATTTCAAATCAAAAAATAAAAAATAAAAAAATCGAACAAAATCAAATTATAAAATAATTATTTATATATATTGTAAATTTTTATAAAATAAAAATAAATATTTTATATTTAAAATTATTTAGATAGATTAAAAATTTATATTCAAATAATATTCAAATAAAAATAAAATTAATAAATTAATAAATCAAATCGAACTAATAAAATTTAATTTAAATTATATAAAATATTGATTTAAATTTGAATTAAAATTTAAAATTTTATAATATTATGAATTATTTAAAAAATTTAAACCAATTTCTCTTCCAATCCTTATCATGCCTACTTTTGAATACGTTCTAGCCCGTTAGTTTTTGCGTTTTGTCAATTTGATATATGGAACTTTCAAGATACTGAAAGTTGGGAAAGGAAAAGAAAAGGCTATCGTGTCAAATGTCAATGTGTGATTGATTTGCACAATTAATGCCATGCGAGCCATTATTATTTTTTATGTCTTGAATGGCAATTTTTTAGTATTTAAAATTATTAAAATTTTAATTTTAATTTTTAAAATAAAAATTTAACACTCAATCAAATGAAACAAATTTTTTTGAATTAATGTGTAAATTAATCTTTAAATTATATATTTTTTATTATTTAATATTTATAAAAATATATCATATGTTATTATTTTATTTATTATTATTTTTTATCAAATCAATATATTATTAATGAAGTTATAGTTAAAACAAATAACATGATAAAATAAAAAATTATAATTTTTTTTTTATAAATATCAAAATATAAAAAGATATAATTTAAAGATGAAATCGCAAATTAACCCATATTTTTTAAAGCCTTTTTTTTATAATAGCATTTGTTATTGTTTGCAAGTAAAATCAAGCCAGGCAATCAATGAAGCACATGCGATCAGAAATTTTTATTGGACAAGAAAAGGTTGCAGTGGGGATTTTTAGGATTTGCCAAGTGGTCACGTAAAAACATGTCAGTCATTGATTTGAGACTCTTGATTTAATGAGGATCCCTATGTGGCTCAAGACTGATGATAGGGCATCTAGCATGGCAAGAACAGTGCTCAGTTGAACGGATGACAAGGCTCTATTTGACGAAGGGGTATTAGTGGCTGTTGGAAGAGGTTGTTAACAACTAAACCATCTAAAATTTAGTGTGAGATAATGAAAAGAATTTCAGTTGCTGATTTTGTAAAACTTTTGGGACAAAACGAAGGGGATTAGTTGTTAAGAAGTAGAAGGCAATGGTTGGAGAAGCCTCTATAAATGGATAGAGTTGCCATTTGATCGAGACATAGCATATCACTATACAAATACTTACTAATTCAGCTCTAGTTTTGGTTCTCAAGCATTCATAAATTTATATTTTTGAGCTCGTTGTGAGTATTCTCTTTTAACAAATTTTGTTTTCAGTGGCATATTTGTTTGATTTGATAATTATTGTAAGTTTTTTGAGAACTGGAATCAATAAACAAGTGCTTCCAAGCTTATTGGCATTGATTTTATGCAA